TACACTTTTACACTTTTACACTTTTACACTTTTTCACACCGGCGCAAACGACTTGTGAACGGCTGCACTACCACTTTAAGACTCTCACGGTCGTCGATGACATGGACGATGTGGTCGTTGACAGCGTCGTTGTGACCGACGTGCTGGTTGCGGTTGAGGTGATCTGCAAGTGAACAGCGATGGTAGGGTATACGGGTATATGACCGAGGTTTTAGCGAGTTGGGCTGCACCTGTGACACTGTGGCAACCCCCGAGCGAGCTTCAAGCCCCAATCGACTCGCAAACTCGAAGTCACAAGCCCACAATGCCCAGACCGAAGCAAAAACGTCAGCACTTTGAGTCTATTGCTCGCTCCGGATTGTGGCTATGCGCCTATGCGCTGAAGACTGGAGAACAGACGGCCTCCAGGCACACCGGGTATGTTCCGTTGAAGGTGCCGTCCGGCAGGCCTGATGGAGCCGACTCGTAAGGTTGCGATGTGATGTGGTCACGCTTCGAACCTACGAATCTTGGAGTTCCTGGAATGACCATGTGAAGCACATCAAGCGGCCAATGCGGAGTGCTCAGGGTTGGAGTGTTCAGGCTTTTGCCTGGACACTTACACCCAGGTTCCGGCCTTGAATCCTTGAAAGGGGCGCAAAGGGGTGCAGAGTTCTGGGGGTGGGTATAGCTCGGGTTTTGGAAGCTCATCCTCACCCAACACTTCAAAAGCAAGCACAAACTTCTGGCGCAAAAGCTTGGAATAGAACACAGGAAGCAGACCACCAATAATTCAAGATGACAATGATGCACCTTGTTGGAAAAACTGCCCAAAGGAATCTGGCGAATTAGCTTTGCTACGAGTAACATATCCACACAGAAAACCAACCGATGTTCCGAACAGAAGGCGTGTAAAACTAACGCATGCCAAGCCGCACGTCCACGTCTCCATGCCGGGGTAGTAACCCGCAGCACAGGAGACGGTGCACGTAGCAGCAGTCCTTAAGCCGTGAACAGCCCGGGTCGGCACCCCCCTCCCCCCACCCCCCCCCCTTTGATCCCCTTGCTCTACAAGGAGGCTGTGCCTGAGCACTGATCACACAGAATTCCCGCACAGATGCCGCCTTCTTCCTATGTCCGACAAGGGATATACCCAGACTTCCACCTAGGCACCCCTGCCCCATCGGTTTAGGCTGTTGAGGGCCCGTTAAACTTTTGGGCATGCCAGGGATCGCTGTGCCCGTGCAGTCATCGGTGTACTCGATCCCAAAAGGCACGTTGTACAGACATGGGATGGCGGTGCAGACCTGAGTTTCGACTTATACGCCGTGTCCATCCCATGGAAATGAACTGCGGCAACTCTCACAGCGCCTCTTGCCCTTGCGAAGTGGGCTCCTTTGGGAAGACCCCTGAACTGCCAAAACCAGACCGGTCACTTTCTGCCTCAGATCATTACGCTGCAGCCCCGGGAGCAGGGACTTCACCGCGCAATGTGTAGCCATCCTGGCAAGGTTGGGCCATCAGAAATGAGTGCTTGGGGATGCCCAGGTAATGTACAGTACTGACCTGTAATGGCAGCCTCAAACCCTCCGAAGCCCCGAAACTGAACGATCCGAGCACTTGGTCTGCGAGATTTGGAAGAGTTTTTCCAGTAGCGCATCCCAAGCTTTCCACATCTCACACCGAAAGAGGACCCCCCATTCTGTTGTTCTTTGCTTGTGGCCAGATTCGAATCCCTCCCATATTTCAAGGCAAGCGTCTATCATGGGAACGTTGCTCACCGGGTTCAGGCCACTCTCGGCCTTGGCGGAAGCACGTCACTCCCTGGGACTCGTAAGCCGCACGCCTAGAGGGCCGAATCTTCCCATTGCAGCCGGGCATCGCTGGCGCAGGACCATTGCGGAACCTGGCGCTGCTGGTTGCTGAGCCCTTGTGGGGTCCTTCCCTCATGCTGGCCTAGGATACGAGTACCAACAGGTGACCATGGCAAAACGCAAAGCCCTCGATCTTACCCTGCGCAGGGGGAGGCTAGTAAAGCTGCAAAGCAGACCTAGCAGAACGTGCTGAGGAAGATGCTCGGGTAGAGTTGGTCACGTGGACAACCCAGCGTAAACGCAATGGTATGCTCCCACCCACCTGGCTCTGTTGCATCCTGTACCCCTGACCTCAGCAGAGCTGTAGCGCAGCACATCTTGCCAGCTGGTCAGCTCTCTACATCCTCATAACCCGTATGCTAAGTGCTCGGACATGCCAGCCTCGTTGACGATACACTCACCAGCTACCCTCAGAGTTGCAATCGGAGCTGCGGCGCATCCAACTTGCAGCTTTCACCCAAACGGCCGAGCGGCTGCAGAAGGCGAAGCACGAGCGATCCGACAGGACCTTCACAGATTGGCTCCAAGATCCCAAGATGTGCAACTCATCAAGGAACACAGGGCTCAGGGGGCAGGCTGCTAGGGACCCGTGAAGCATCAAAAGGGAACCCCATAGAAAGCCGGCACAGCAAAGGAGCGTTGGCGCACGTGTGGTCAACGTTGGGGATGACGATGTTGCTGTTGCACTCGATTCGGTCACCTGTGCACTCTTGGGACCAAAGACCTGTGTCCTAGGGAACCTAATTTCCAGTCCCTTGGCAAGAACTCTAAGAGCCTGAAGCCTCAGTGGCAACCCTCTGAAGGAAAGCCCCAGCGGCATTGGAGGCTCGAGCCGTCGCTGGAAACCTGACCCTGAAGGTCGCAGTTGTAGCGGGTGCTGGTGGTGTTGCCGCTCGCCTTGCAAAACAAGCCGTTTGTGAGTCTATGGGTGCTGACGGTTTGGGGCAGAAGCTTATGAGGTAAGGATTTAGGGGGTTTGTGGAGTGTAGGGTTTGGGCGCTGCGCCAGGGCCAAGCAGCTGGCAGGTACCCCTTCTTGCATGTCTGCTCGCAGGACCTGGAAGGTCAGGGCGCATGTGGGTTGTAAGATGCGGAAAGGACCAGGCAACCCTGATGCTCCAGTCTTCATGTTCAATAATGATTCCGCGAGCTGATCGGTCACGACAAAAAAGGCTCTGGAAAGTTTCTGTGCTAGCTCCATCGTTCCGCATCTCGGATCACGCTGCTTGAATCACCCAAAACACAATTACCCAAAACACATTCACCCAAAACACATTCAAGGGTCGTCTTGCACGTGCAGTTCAAGAAGCTCGCCAGCAACCATGGTCGAGCAGTTGTCCACAAGGATGTCAGAGGCGCCAATGCTGGGGCAAGTAATTTGTTCGCCTGGGGAGAAACAGGATGTGCGCTGAATCACAACCCAGGAAAAGCCTCACAGCACGAGCCTCCCCCTTCTTACCTGCCCCCCCCCCCCCACCCCCCAAGCCGCTGAAGAGTGGAGATCTCGCTTCCCCGAAACAAGAAACCCTAATTGCTCTCGTTGCCCTATACGATAGGAGGGGGGCTTCAATATTCAATCCAATATTCAGGGCAGAAATTAAGGGCGTAGGGGGTTTGGGCCGAGTCAGTCGCCACTCAGACAGTCCCGGCCGCACACCGGCAGAACCCCGGTCAGTGACAGTCCGCTGCCACCGAGGTCACACTGCCAGACCTGCGGCTCCAACCAGGGGGCACCCCCAGGTTAGGAGATTCAGACTCCCCAACCATGACAACATGGTACAACTCTTGGACGCTCGGGCTATTTTTACTTCGAGGGGTCTCAAAGGTTTGGGGGAGGGCATTACAATCTCCGAGGCCTCAAACTCACAGGCCTTGCGTTGCATACCCCTCGACCCCTCGAAAACTCAGATAGCAAGACAAGACAATTCGGGCACGTCCCGACACTCCACACTTCAGCCGAAGCTTCTTGGAACTTGGTGTTCACCAGCCAAAAAGAGTCTGGCGAGCCGAAGCTACGATCCTACTGGCCGCTTGCGAGGCTGACTCTTGAAGTCGCCTCCCCAGCGCCACCATTTCGGAGCTCGTACCTGGAGGTCCGCTTCGGGGTTGGGGCAAAGGTTGGCACTGCAAAGAGGGGGACCAGAGCTGAGCAGAGTCGTCATGCAATGAATGTCTGAATCCCAAACAACCCCCCTCTGTTCAGTCGGCACATGGGTTTGCCCTTCAGCCAATCCAGAAAGGTGAGACGTGCACCCCCAAGATCCCCAAACAGGTCGGGAGACCCCGGTGCACAGAACACGCTGCAGCTGCGGCCGAAGAAGATGCCCTCCGAGTGGCGACTCGTGGGGGGGGGGGGGGGCCCGTAGACTCTAGGACTCTAGGAATGAATCTCAGGGCGCCCTTGAAAGGATGAAGATTCAAGGATCAGAGGGGCTTGGCTTGCGGCTCAATGGCTTAAGGTCCTGATAGCAGCTGTAGCAAGTAATCCTTGAAGTTGACTTTCGGATGCAAGAAACCCAAAACAGACGCGTCCCAACACCCTGATGAGCAGCAAGTCCTGATGCAAAGTTCGAGTCCTCACTCCAAACCAGCCCAGGGTTGAGGCACAAAAAGTAATTCGAGCATTGCGGGGACAAGATGCTCCGAAGTTTGAGGCTGCGGAGGTCGGAGAGCGGTTCCCTGAACTCCCCTCCACCGACAGCTTGTGCAGCCTGACAGTTGTGCGCAATCGACGGATCCTGCGCATCTCAGGGCTTCGGCCTTTGGGGTCGAGGATGTAGGTAGGTAAGGCCCACAGCTTCAGTAGGTTTGCGCGTGTGCCCGTCAAGAAAGATCAAGCCTTTTCAGGTTCGGGCGCTGCCTTCTGCGGACCTAAGAAGCCACAAAGAGTCCCTCACAAAGCTGAGGGTTCATGAAGATGATGGGCCTTTGATCGCTATCAAGCCCTGGGCCTTAAACCCTTTCCTCTTAAGCCCGCAAGTGCAAGAATCCAAACTCCAACCGTTGGCTAAGCTTTCCTCAAGCCGAAACCCCTAGTTGAAGACTCTATTTTCCAAGACAGGGTGGGAACACATCTTTGCATACTAGGGGTTAGCGCCTATCAATCTTGGCAGCAGCCATTTCTTTCAGACTGCTGCAGAGCTGGGTTCACTCAATTGGCTTCGCTTGCGCAATGGCGGAGCAACCTAAGCTTCTTTCTTTGCTGGTCCGTTTTCGCACATGTTTTTTTGGCACTTGATGGCACTTAGACTTGGCATCAGGCTCATTTCCACACGCGGTGACATTCAAACTCCCTCTGTCCTCTCTGGCACCTCGAGGGTTGTGCTCCCTTCACCCCTTTCAGCGCGCCGCTCCCCGTGACTTGGTGGCACAGGTTCAGCACGGACTCCCCAAATCCGAACGTCCCGAAACCCGATACACCGACCCGAAACCCGTACATGTCCTGGAGCATGGGATTCGCCGGGCATTCTGCCGGTTTGCAGATCCTCGGCTTGAGAGACAAGGGCTCTTCGGAGCTTCTGGGGGCGCTTTGAGAATTTCCCCCCAAGCCTTAGACCCAAAGAGCTCCGGGGATTGAGTGCAACTTCAGGGCCCTGAAGACACACTCCTCCCTGGATTGAAATGCTCATTCAACCTGCTCTCAACTGAGAGTACCACAAGCCCTTCCCCGCCAAGGTGCGGCAGCGTTCCGATGAGAGATCCGCTGGCGTCGCAAGTCATGATTGCCGAGTTCGGTGTGCTGCCCGGCTTGCAGGTGACGTTGCCTCATCTCACTGCGTCTCCAGTGATTTATAGATCTGCCATGAGCATCCCTGCAAAACCCCATCCCAGACAACTCTACACCCTAAACTGCACTGTTACCGCAGTCATAGGTCGCTGGGGCTTCGATTACTTCCCTTCCCGGTAGCCGGTCAGGCTGGGACTTGGACTGTTGAGTCGTAGAGTCGTAGAGTCTTGAAGCAGTGTTGATTTCCAGCCCAGCCCTGACCCAGACATGGATAGCTCAAGCAAGCCGCATTGCATGTCGGTCGTCATGCCATCACAGTCCTTCACACAGTCACGGGGTGCTGAAGCTTCTCGTTTGCCATGAGGGTCCCAGAGCATTCAACAAGACATGGACCTCCCTTCAACCTTGCAAGAGGTTCTTGTGGGTATCCGTGCATTTGATCTAGGGGTTGTCGACATCTAGCAACTCAGACTGACTAGCTCAGAAAAAGGAAGAGAGGCTCATTGAAAACTTCCATGCTTAGAGAAGATTCAGCTGATCCTGACATGTCTTAAAATACTCCCAAAAGACACTCGGGGGCACCTCGCCCGAGAAAGCCGCATCCGTTGGGATAGTGTTGGCGCCTTGGATCGAGAAGGTCCGACCCTTAGGATGCCCTGCGCCGTGCTTCAGGTTCAAAGTTGCATCCTAAATCCCTACTTTACGGAACTTTTTGGGGGGGAGCTCCGGGAAAAAATCGGAAAGCCCCGCACCTCCAATACTGCGGGCTCGCCACAGGGGTTGCCGACGCAGTCGGGGGCCGCACCGGCAATGGTGCCATCCGCCATGCACTCAAACCTTGCTGGGGCCACACAAGGCAAGGTAAAGAAGGCCAGTTGGGGTGGTAAGCTCCCAACAAAAAATGAGTTCGGAATAGAGCCCCAAAACGATGTGACAAAAGAGTATCTGTAAGGTCCCGCGCTTGTGTTTCGGAGGGCACACAAGACTTGTTGAAGATCTTCTTGGGGGTCTGTCTCTTAAGTCAGCTCAGGTTAGAGGGTCCCAGGGATGAGCCAAGAGACTGCGAACCCCAGCCAACAAGAGTCCAGCCCTTGGCACAGCTTACACCGCAGGTGTCCTGAAACATGTCTGGTGGTTGGGGGGCCAACCGTTGGGAGTCCCAATCTTTCGAAACCATCAAGCCCTGAGTTCTTCAAGCCCTGAGTTCCTGGGAAACTGTTTGCACCTCTTTCAGAGTCATCTTTTACAGCTTCTTGTAGCTGCATCCGGCCGAGCCGAGAAGCCTGCTGAAACGCTCTGAAGCCACCACTTGGGGAGGTGGGGTGCTTAAAATGTGGTGATGTGGGGTTGTCAGCACCCCTGGCTAATCAGTATGCTTCTCCGTCCTAGCATGCCTATGCACCCAGAGTCACCTAACTTCGCAAGGATGGGGTGGAAAGCCCCTCCGGTCAGGAATGGAACACCGAGTGATCAACCCTGCGCGTCCTGGAACACCATGCCCGCGCAATTGTGCGCGAACTTCGGCCCCTTCAGGGGTTGAAGGAGCTCCAAGGGGTTGGAGTTCACGGTTGACACATTGGCAGCTCCCTTAAGGATGATGTCTACTCCCAGACATGAACCCTAAACCCTAGGCCCTAAACCCTAAACCCTTCAGGGATGGATGGGTCGAGTTCATTTTTCTTGCACGCGGGGACAATCCTCACAGAGTTCTCGGCCCACGGCGCTTGTGCTTTCAGGAACTTTCCTCGGCTTTCATCCTGAACCCTAAACCCTAAACCCTAAACCCTAAACCCTAAACCCTAAACCCTAAACCCTAAGCCTAAACCCTAAACCCTAAACCAAGAAAAACCCCAAGCCCTCTGTACTCGAGCGGCCATGGTCAGGTCGGTGCAGGTGACGCGCTGGCAGGACGGCAGAGTTCCTCCGCCGAGCTGCAGCGAAGCCGAGGCAAGAACAGGCTTAGACCCCGAGACGTTGGGATGCTCCCCCTGATACTGACAGTCGGTACTAGAATCCCTATGAAGGACTGTCAGTTTCAGAAACAACAGACCAACCTAGACTCTAGACGTTCAGCCGCTTCTTCCGCTGTGCCGTCACAAGCCGAGCCAGTGCCATCAACCATGAGCCGCAAACTTCCCATGCCAGACCCCCGCATGGGAACTTGAACTCTGATCCCCGACGGGGTGGCTGCCAAGAGGCCGTTAAACTCACTGGTCGCTTCGCACCTCGGCTTTCCCAAGGGTGGGCGCAAGAAGTCCTCTCTTGGGTTTCGAAGCCCTCTGATGCCACAGCATCCAAAGCCCACAAGTTTCAACAGCTTCGGGGCTGCGGCCCCAACGGGTGGGAAGCCTGCAAATACCTGCAACACATAACATCCCCAACCCTAATCTTGATGCACGCATCACCGAGACACTTGAACTCTGACGCGCTGTTGCCAGAAGCATACTCGAATCCCTCGGCAGGCCGAAGGCAGCTTCATCGCACTTCCCAAGCCAAAACGCGAAGATCTGCACTGCGCCCTCCGAAATCTTCAACAAGGCCAGAAGCAAATTGCGGATCCACTGTAGGGCACGGCGGCTAACCCCGAAAGTGCCACTGAGAACAAATTGGCCACCGCCCTTCTCACGTATTCACATCGGCCCGTTTCGATTCTCTTTCTCTCTGCAATTCCTGGACGGAGACTTTACAGAACTCGGCTCAAGGGTCCCGGTCCAAGAGCGAAGAGGGTGGGTAGAAACAAGTTACAACAGATGCCGTGGCTAGACTCTCTCGGGGGCGCATCTGAGGCTCTGAGGGTCGGCTCCAGGGGAGTTCTTCTGAGGGAATCTCTGCACAAATCCTGTGAAAATCGAGCAACCCCACACAGCCGAGGCCGGAATAGCGGTCTCTTTTCACCTTTTCCCGCGAGCCCTCCCTGGCTCAAGACCCATGGTGGGGGTTGACGAACATAGGGGACCCCTAATACAAACCCCCTAATCGTAGGATTCCCTTCTAACAAGGGCCCCAATAAGGTACCCCCCTGGAACCCTAAAACCTAGAACCCTAACACCCCAAACCCTACCCCCAATTTCGAAACCCCCGATTTCTCAAGCTTTTCTCCGAGGGACCGGGGCGGTGCAACCAGCCTGGCAGGTGCCTCCAGTCCTGGATGTTGAGTGCCCCTTAAACCCTAAACCCTAAACCCTTAGAACACGGGAAAGCTGCGTCTCCTGATTCCTCACCTTCGGTAGCTGCTGTGAGGGTTCACTGTTCAGGGTTGGCTGAGGGTTTTGGGGTTCGGCTTGAGGGTTTAGGGCCTATAGGGTTTTGTGTTTCAGCGGTTTCGGAGGTTTAGTCCTTCTCCACGACCGTCAAACACACGTCACACTTTGAGGGCAGAACCCTAAGCCCTCAACCCGAAAAAAGGGTAGACCTCGAGCCGAGAGTCGTGACATTGGTGCAGTTGTGCTCGAGACCCACCGCGCTAGGCACATTGTAGGTGCACGGCAGCGCAACGCAAGTGGGAAGAGCACCTGGGATTTGGGGAAGAGCCTGAACCTTAAACCCTGAACTCGGTTTGACAGGACTTGTTCAGGGTTGTAGAAGTTTGTAGTAGTCTATTTCGCTGATGCGGAGTCAACTTCACCTCCAGTTCTCCTTGCGCTTGTAGTTCTGATTGTTCTTATCGCGCTTATAGTTCTTATTGTTCTTCTTGTTCTTCTCGCTCTTGTTGCTCTTCTTGCTCTTGTTGTTCTTACTGCTCTAACTGTTCTCATGGTTCCCACTCAGAACTCTGAGGGCTCCCCTGTGAGTTTCGGCTGAGTTTGGACCTCTGGTGTCTGCAGGGGCATCACACGGCATTGTTCCAGCAGCGGTCCTTTGCCACGCAAAAATCAAAGCAAAACACGTTCTCGGGACCCTTGCCATTGGGACACTCTGATCGGCGAGTCTCAGAAGCTTCTTTTGTTCTGGGAGTGAAGTGTTGCTTTTGGAATAGTTTGCTTGATGTTTTTGTGGTTGTGTTTTTGCTTTTTCCCAAACCCCCCCCCCTTTTCCGGTTTAGCAGGAGTGTTGTTTTTTGTGTTGTTTTTGTCGTTTTGTTCTTACTGTTGAGATTCTTTGCTGCGGAGGTTAAGTAATCATTGCGATCTGCTGTACAAGATAAAGATAATATATACAACACATCCGAGTAGCATAAAACATATGTCATCTAACATACAGCATGCCATATATGTCACATAACACATAACATATCGTCGATAACACAGAATACACCATTTCCGAAATCCGGGGGTACCCTACTCAAGTCCTTAGTAAAAAGGAATCCTACCATTCTGGGGTCTACATTAGGGGTCCTTTTTTTCGGTAGCCCCCATAACCCTACATCCTAAACCCTCCCTAAACTCCGCTTGCCGCCGAGGCGCTGCCGACCAATGCCCCGTTGTCACAGACGGTCAGCGCAGCAGCGCCTCGGCACTTCGAAGGCTCGAGGGGCTCCCAACAAGAGACTCAAAGGACCCTGACGGTAGGGTTTGGGGTTTTAGGGTTTAGGCTTAGGGCTTAGGGTTTAGTACATGTACAAGCACGCTCAATGCAATTGACCGAGGCATGCCGCAGAAGGCCCTCCAACGTGGAGTTCTCACTTTAGGCCTTTGGGATTGGATTTGTCCGGCTCGGAACACTCTTATCTTCAATGCATGCCAGCAGCCGCTCAACTCATACCCACGGCTGCAATGGCTGATGCACACATCATCGTGGACGAGGCTGTCGCAGCTGTGCCTTGTGCTGCGGAGGAAGAGAGCGCGTCGAACCTCTAAAGGGGGCCACCTCTTCGCAATTCTGAGAACTAAGCCATCCCATGCCGGCCAGAACCCCGAACCCTTGTTCCTAAGTCCGTCTGACTCTCCATGCCCGAGCTGCAGAAACTCGATGGAGTTCAAGCCGAAAGCATCCACGGCGGCCTGGGGGCAAGCGGAGGTCTCTAGCTTGCTCTGGGGGAGGTGCAGGGTTTAGGGGCCGAAGGGTTTGCCGGTTGAGGGGTGTAGCGTTTAGGGGTTGAGGGTTCAAACAGATTCTGAGTGGTCGTGTGGGACACAAGGCGCTGCATTGCGGGGGGAGAGGGGAGGGGGGCCACATAGGTAACGATGCAATTCCCATGCAATACCTATATGTTTTCATTATACTGCACTACCCAAAAAAACCTTATCCAAGCAAACAGGCCCTAGAGTGCCGTTGACGAGCTGACAGTCACAAAGTCTCCATTGCCTGACCGCAGCTCGCCGCAAGCATTCGCTCTTCGGCCAGCCGACGGCCGCCATCAGCAACACAGGAGATGTTGCTGCCCTGCAGGTTTTGCTGGCGTTCGGTACTTATCCCAATCGAAAAAGGAGTCCAATACGCTTGCCACGCTAAAGCTGCATGAAGCAGTAGGGGGCACCTGAAAACAAGAAACCTAGCGGGCTCATGGGCATGCAAAGCTCGCCCAGTGCCGAAGAAATCAGGTCAGTGGTTGGTTGAAGCCACGTGGATGCCATGTGTGAGGGTGACTGCATCATGCTTTTTGCACAATCTGGCAATCATATCGTCTTAGTCTGAGATGAGGCTGGCCTGCGCCTCGACCTGGATGGTGGCGGTCGTATCGTTGGCCACGCAGCGGTAGGGCTGGGGATCCTTGTCACTTGGCTTAGCATGCGCTCAAAGGGCTCTTCAATTTGGAAGTGCAGAAACTGGCATCCTCAGAAACAGGACATGTCTGTGTAACTTTCCAAACGATCCCATCCAACTCAGCAGCGCTCCTCGAGGGTTTAAGCACTCTGGGAGGTGGGATTCGAACATTCGGACTTGGGTTGCAAGCTTAGGGTTCCATAGGGTCCCCGAAGCAATGCTCGCAACGAAACCATGGGGTTGAGCCGAACTTCTCCGGTGTAGTTGGTCAAGCAATAGGCGTAGCACTCAGCGCCGATCTTCAGATTTCCTGAGCTCGAAATCCTTGTGGGTGGGAAAATGCCCTAAACCCCCCAAACCCGAGAAGAAGGCACTATACACTTCAATGATAAGAAAATGGAGCCAGAAGGGCTAAATCGTCGGAATGCATGTTCAGATGGATGCAAATACAACTGGGTTGACGTAATTAAGTAGGATTTAGGGTAAGGACAATGAGTTCAAGGTAAGGAAGGTACTGCAAGGGTTTTGCGTTCAAGAAACCCACAACCCCAAAACCCCATAGAGCACGTCGCACCTTAAACAGGCCTTGCCCTGGCCGCCTTCTGACCCTGCTTTGAACCGAGTCGCCCCTAAACCTCAAAAGCCCTAAGAATTCTACGATGCCCTCGGCCTTAAGAGCACCCCAGCGACCACAGGTGCTGCCGACACCCTCGCCGAAGTCGGGTGCGGCGCATGTGGCCTCTGCCACCTGGACCCATGGAATCAACTGCAGCGCTCCCAGAAGTTGCGCAAAGGAAGGGTTGATGTGGTTCGAGTGAGGGTCTGGCCCGTTTGGGGTTTTCTGAGCGCCTCTGGCACATTGCCCCGGAAGCCACCATCCACACCACACGTCAGGGGCGTTGCTGTCCTTGCGCTGCGTTGGGTTCGGGGTAGGGCTCAGCCTGGACCTCTCGCAATGCTCGCCAGGTCCGTGTTCAAGGGGGCTTTCACGACAACCTCGGGAAGCCTCTCCCTCTTTTGAGCCAAGGCGGCATGGTGAAGCCGAACGCCGCCGTGACCTGGCTTTGCTTCCCAAAGCAACTGGGATCACCGAATCCCGCACTTGTCTTCCCAGATTCCCCACCGGCAGGCTGGTTTCCAACCCTCGTTCCCTCATTCAGAAGTTTGCACATATGTCTTGGGAGCTGTATGGCTTCACGGCTCCTGGAATCAACAAGCATCCTGTGACTATGCAGGGCTAGCTACTGACTGTCACTCAACCCAGCTCTCCTCACCCAACCCAAACCTCAGACCCACACGATGCTCCTTGGCTGCACCTTTAGTCCTACATACTGTCAAGAAGCAACGCAGACTGAACCCTCAACACCCATCCAGACCCCCAAGCCTCCCCGAAATTCCCAGCACCGAAACCCAATGCCCTACAAGCAACAGGCCACGGAACGGAGCAAGTCTGCAAAGTGGTCTTGCCGACGCAGTCATGCTCAATGCCCCGTCGGCTTGGAACTCCGGTCACGCACATCTTGCTCATGCACACCTTGCTTCAGATCCCTGCTATTTTCGGGCGCCAAGCAGCCAGATTGCTTGTGGCACCACGTCTAGCGCCCTAACGCCTAACTAACACGATGGGGCCCAGACAATGATGCATGTAAACAGGTCAATGTCAGAGCCCGAAGCGGCCAGGACACAGGACCGGTGGAGTTCTCGGCGGGGATGAGGCCCACGAACTCCGCATAGCGTGCACTGGTTTCCGGCGTGGCGTCACATACCATCACTGTCGCGTTGCCCTGGATATCCCAGCCTCGAATCGAGTCTTTTCAGCATCGTTGCTTTCCAGGCATCCCTTTTTGACAGCCAAAGGCCAAACCATGCCTGTCGCGCAGAAGGTTGTGCAAATGTCCCCATAGGTCTGGTTCACGCAGGAGTCCGCGAACTGTGGCTCCGAGAACGGTGAAATCGACGAGAGCGATAAGCCTTGGGAAGAACAGTCCCGAAAGTCACCAGGTCGGCGCAACTTCAGACCCTAAACTGACATGGGGAACGGTTGGGCGCTTCAGGGGGAGTCTGAGGGTGCTGCACTTCGTTGGCGCGCAAGAGAAGGTGCTGCGTGCGAAGCTGCCGTCCGTCTGGCAAGACATGTTCGCGGATCCTCGGCTTCACTTCCCAGTTCCGGAACTGCTCAGAATTCCAAGGCAACAAGAATCCCCAACCCTAGGCCATAAGCTCAAGACTCTACGCCCGAGGATAAGTGCAAGTCATGCCTCCGACGCCCTCGTATCCGCGGGTGCAGCCCAGATCACAGCTGCGACCCGTGGTGGTCCCGACGCATGCCTCCCCCCAGGGCGGGCTGTCCACGAACCCCAGATGCCGTGAGCATGCCTAAATCCCCTTAGAAAACCCTCAAGCCTACATCCCCCCCCCCCCCAAGACCCTAAGTCACCTAAATCCCAAAAAAAAAAGCCCTCCAAGGCCTCGGCCGTGACTCCGACCCCAATTGACACGCCTTCCAAGGAGCCTTCGGATTCTGGAAGGCTTGGTCTGTTGTTATAAGGGTTTCGGGTTTGGGTTTTGGGTTTGGGTTCTAGTGGGGTTTAGGGTTTAGGGATTGCAGGCATCGGAAGATGGAACAAATCGAGGAACATCATTTGTAGCCCCATGGAATTCCAGGCTTTCTTGGGGGGGGGAAGCTTTTGGCTGTGGGGGAGTCGGTGCACCCTTCCAAACTTTGAGGCGCCACATGCTCGGAAAGAAGGCTTGCGGCTCCGAGCCATCACCGTCTTTCCTCTCCTCCTTTTGGGGTGGGGCAGTTACAATAAGCCGCTTGTTTTGGGGAACTCAGAAACAAGATACATCTCTTGCTTCCAAGAAGCAAATCAGCGCAGTACAATTGGGCTTCTCACCCAGCAAGATGCCATTGTCACAGTCCTTTGCTGCTGCCGGACTGCTCACAGCCCAAAGCAGCAGACCAATCAAACTGGTGTGTACAATTGTCTAAACACACCAGGCGCCATCTGCTTGGGGGAGCCGGAGTAGCCCTCGTTGCACGTGCCCATGCCTCAGAGGTGAGAGCTCAGCGGTTGGAAGATGTTCCCAACTGGGTCAACATCTCGAAGACCCCAAGAACCCCCTGCGTGAACTGCTTGCACCAGGCGGCAAAGATCTCCGTGCTTTACGCCCGCACAGTCCGTGGAGAAGGATAGATCACCCACCATGTCCGAAGGAATCGGGCAGGCCTACCAAACTCGGTTCCACAGAGTGTTTCGACATTGAAACCAGGAGGGTCTGCCACCTTTAAGCCCCAGGACCTGCCCTCTTCTCTTCAGAAAGTCTCGTTAAGCCGTTCAGCCGTCAAGCGCTTAAGATCCGTTAAAAGCCAACTCTTCCGCAGCCAGCTTCCCCCACCTTTCGTGTGCAGGAAGTGGCCGATCCAGTGAACATGCCGTCGGCGCCGCATGACTGGTTCGCCGGGCTGCCCTCGTAGCCGTACATGCACGTCACCTCTGCATGAAGGATCATGACACAAGGGCCTCGTAGAGTTTAGGGCTCCGGTGTTGAGATTGAGTTTTCGGGGTTTGGGGCCAGCTTACAGTTCAGGGCCGTGCCTCACACGAGTCACCCGCCACCGTGCCCAGGCACGCCGTGGTGTTCGCGCCGATGTCAAAAGGGATCGAGCCTTACGGATCACAAGGGTTCAGCCTACAATGTGCCGGCAACCACCAGTGAACCTCCATACACACCCAAGTTATAAGAGCTCCACCTGTACAATGCAGAGGACTTTGGGGGCTTAGTGAGGCTAAAGGAGCTGTACCCGAACCCTCTGGGGCTTTGCCAGGATGCTGACGCTGCACTGGATCCTCTCACAGACGGGCGGGGTTCCGGTGAAGTTCTGATCAATCCCACAAGAATACCTGCGGCAGGAGTTCAACTTCCCCCCAAGAGAGAAAGCGCTCCGAGGCCCAGATGTGGACACCCTCATGACTGCAGAACACATGCACATGCTCCAGGAAAACCCGGACCCTCAAGGCTGGGGCACACAGACTGAGCGGCCAGATATCCAGCAGGACACCGCAGGAAGCAGATGCTCCCTACCTCTGTATTGTCGCCTTGGTTCGGGGGCTGAGGACCTGGGGTAGGGATGAGGTTGTGAGTCACCACTGGTTTCAGGTTCGCCTCACTCGCTCCCCCTCCGCGTTTGGGATCCCTCGCATTTGAGGATGCTCGCGGGGCTCCCCAGAACTCTTGGGGAAGCTCGGGCGCAGCTGGGCATCTACGAAATGTCTATGGATAGTCGAGAGGAACATCATGTGAGTCGGCGAAGCAATCCATGAGCTTGGAAGCATGCGTCCCGCATTCTAATCTCATTGCCATGTGGGGGTCTCCGAACTTGAGGGTACCTTATATCCTACTATTTGGGGGGACTTTTTGGGGATCCCCTACTTTCGTAAGCCCATGTCCCGTAGAAGCAAAGGCGCAGTCGGAGGCATCGAAGCCCGTTGGGAGGCTCGAAGTAGAGCAGCTCGGCCTCGGTACACGACGACCCTCGTAGACAAACATACTCAAAAGTCCTCAAAGGGAGCTGTTTCTTAGGCGGTTCCGAAAAGATCGCGCCGTTAGATAGTGGTCAACAGGAGCAGCCCTGGCCCCCTTGCCAGAGCCCTCTCAAACTTTCCCCCCGAGTTTTCAAGCTTTTGGAAGTTTGGCAGGCAAGAGGCAGGAGGCACGCCAGACTGGGCCCCTCGAAGAGTCCAGTGCTGGGCTCACCTGGGCGTGAGAGAAGGGTATACAGGGTACTTAGCTCTTCACACATGTTACAAATAGCTATCCAAACGTAAGCGCTAGCTCGGGTTTCAGTTGTTGAGCCTGCTGTAAGTGGAGTCCCTTTTGAGGTACCCCCAATTTCAGGCTCCGTACTACAAGAGGAACCCAAAAAAACACAACCCACACCCCAAAAAGGGGGCTGGGCGAAATCATGGGTGCGGTAAACTGCTCTCACCAGGCCAGGGTAGCACAAAAAAACATCCGCGGCGAAGTGGCAGTAATACTCTGCGGGGCCTCCCTGAAAGCCCGTGTCGCAAGTCGCCTGCGCAAAGCTGTTCAGGGTTCGGCTCCTACACAGTGAACGTGGCACCTGCCTGACAGGTCTGACCGTTGGCTTTGTCCACGCAGTCACTGGTGATGACACCACGTCCTGACGGCAGGCCACCTCAGCTTCACGCGGATGCCATAGCGGTCATAGCGGTCATAACCCCAAAGAACCACCCAGATCCCGACGACTCTCTCACCAGGGCTCCCAATCACCCTGGCTTTATACCCTTATTCGCGCAATTTCGCGCACCCACACCCCCATGTCCAAGCTCGAGTTTTGTTGTTCAGGGATTTCAGGGTCCTGCTTGTGAAGGAAACGGGAGACGTCCCTCTGTGACTGTGCCCCCTTTCAGTTCTTGGGGAAGCACAAGCTCCCAATCCCAACTCCGGCTCCAACTCGGGGGCAACAGGGTTTGCGACCTGTGCGGCCAAGCATCCAGAACAGATGACCAGTTCAGTCTTTGTGCTGGTCGAGGTCATAGTTTGCGTTGTGGTTTCTGGCGGATCGCAGAGCTGAACCCGCAAACCCGAGATCCGCTTCTTGCAGGTGTGAGCAGCAGCTTGGAGGAACTCTGATAATTCTCTGTGATGTGGGAATGCTGCTACCTACCACACATGGTCCAGCAGACACTTCAGAGACCTTTCGAAGCATTCGACTCCGAACTGCTTCTGTCGCGAAACCCCTCAGCAGGTTTTTGCAGTTCACGGCCTCGCAACCCTACACCCTAAACCCTAAACCCTAAACCCTAAAGCCTAAACCCTAACCCTAAACCCCCTCTATGCTGCCAAAGCCACGGCAGACCGGCATCGCCCCAACGAATGCGTTCCCAGACGGCTCCTCACTGCACGTCAGCGTCCTGGGCTTTTAGGATTTGAGGGTTTCCGAAAATAGGGCGGTCCCGGTTATCAGGAAATCCTACAATTTGGTGGGGGCCATATTAGGGGTCCCTATTTTCATAAACCCCCATGTCTTTTTGAAGGGGAGCGCAAAGTCGTTGAGGGTTTCGGATGGTTTCGGTGCACCGTGGCTGCCAGGGCACGTCGGAGAGCCGTCAAAGCTGGGCAAGCAGGACGCCTGGCACGTCTGTCCCACCTGGAGGATTCAGGCTTCCAAACCGCCAAGGCTACCTAAAACCCTCGACTTTTCATGCTCCGATCCAGAGGCCCGGTTGGCCCATCAACCCTGAAAGCCTCAAAGGAACACAGGCTTAGGGTTTCGGGATCTTCAAAAAAAGAAGGGGGGGGTGCTCGATTGCTGCTCGAAGCCCCAACACCTCCTTCCCCTGGCAGTCCGAGAGATCAACGGCGGAATCCGCGGTTGGCGGCCGACACTGACCCGGAAGTACAGTGAAGGTCGAGCTGGTCGTCGAGGTGAAGGTTGTGGCCTCGAGTTGCAAGGACGACAAGAGCCGAAAGACCCTTCGGTGGTTTTTCATCGTTTCTTGGCATTGTGTTGAAGCCTTGTGGATTCTACTGGATCGGAGATCATGTTGGCAGAGCTGATTGTCCAAGCCTTGCAGCCCTTCTTAAAGCAGACACGCGCTCACGAGGAGAGCCCCGTATGCAGCATGCAGGAGCTGGCGTTGCCCTTCTTTGAATCCCCAAAATCCGCCGCTGGCCCGTACCTTTTTGGGCTGTATAAGTGCGGTCTACACATGCCTAAAGAGAGCCGGTTTGGGGACTTTGGCAGGCTGCGTCTGCAATGCCTGCAAAACATCTGACGCAGGTCTCTTCCATACTCCTATCGGGCCCCCATGTCAGTACACACCTGCTCTTACCTCTTACCCTAAACTGTTCTGCCTCTCAACACGGGAAGGCTCCGAGCTCACGGCCGACACCGTTGTTGTCGTTGTCGTAATGAGCTGCGGGGTCATCAGTGTGTAAGGCACCTCTTGAGAAGCATACATTAGTTCACCGCTTGGAGGAGCCAAACGAATCAGGTCTATGCCTCGGAGTTCAGGTTGAGTTTCAGGGTTGTGTGGCTTCAGGCTCTTTCACGTGCTGTCCTGCGCGGAGGAATGCTCTCTGCGTGACACACCGACACGAGAGCCTGCGGCGTTTCGATGCATTTGCCACTTCCGAACATCGGCTTCCAGGTGCAGCCTACCTCGGATCTGGCAGAGTTTAGGCTTCGGACTGTTGCAACGTGACCGTCCATCCCCTCGCAACATGAAACCACCAAACTTCGTGGGGCCTGTTTCGGGGCGAGCTTGCAATTAGGGTCACCCACAGCCGAGCTGCTTTCGGACCGGTCATGTTGATCTTTATGGTTGCGGGGTTCAAGGCATCATAGGGTTTAGGGAAGAGAGGGGAGCGGGTGCTCGCCAGGGCAGCTCCTGATGCGTGGCGCAGAGTCGCGACGTTTAGAATTGCGCAGCCTAGCCTTCCATCGGATCACACGTGACCTTGCTGCTGAGGATGAAAGAATCTCATGGGCACTCCAATCTCATACTCCCCACCTGACACCCAGCTGCGTTGTCAACGCAGCCGGTCGGGTCCTCGATGATGAGGCTGCAGGACGAGATGTTACCTGTCAGAAGTCATAAGGCTTCGGACTGAAAAAGGTGCCATTCCTTGGGGGCCTTGAGGTGGGAAAGGGCTCTGAGCCCGATTCGTGCTTTATACCGCCAAAAAAAAGGCACCCCAGGCCTTCCGCCACCAAGAAATCCTCCTGCCGGTACCTGGGCTGCCACCATCGCAAGAACCACGGCAAACCCAAAGACGAAGCAAGTCAAAGAGAGGCCTCGAACGTACAAAGCACTCTTCAAAAAAAGGAAGCATCCCCTGAGGCCCATCCATGTAGGCAAACAGCGCTCGACGAAGCTGGGCCCCCCCACACGGAGCACCTTCTCGGGTCGACAGGATGTGCCGCGGCGAGGACCTCAGGCATAGCGCATCTGCACATGCCAAATAGTATGTTCAGGCTAGTGGCGAAATTGGTGGTGAGGCTGTTGTACCACGCCAAGCTCATGGTAGACTCCAATACGAAAGCGTCGAACTCTAAATAACTCACCTTCGAACTATTGAACATGCCGCGCAAACGTCAGAACTTCTCCAGGCAATCGAAGATACCGTAGACTAACCCAAGAGCCCTCAGCACAGTGTCTCAAGTCAATAATCCCAAAAACTTCCGTTCCGAGGCGCATTCCAGGCTCGGAAGCCGACTTGCTGCTTGGCTTTGGGAACCTCACAAGAATGTACGAGGCCCTCGGGTTGTTGAAGGGAAGTAGAGTCTAAGCCAAGTTTCCGGGGTTTTGGGTTTAGGGCTTAGGGTTCATGTACATCCAAGTGCCCAGCCAACCGACACTGTGTATGAACTTGCCATGTGGAGAACGGCAGAAAACGAGAAGTTTCCTGAGCCCCGTGCGTAGTCGAAAGCGGAGCCGGTCCTGGACAACATCCAGGCCTGACGCGCCACAACCCAAGGAACAGGACTCTTCGGCCTTCTTCTGGCTTCGGGCTTCATTGGCTTATGGGGGGCAACGGGGCTCCCGCAGCAATGCACGAAAGCCACTTAGGCCATGGCAATGTAACCATCGGCCGTGGGAGGGTGCACGAAGCCACACTGGCTGTACTTCGGCAGGCTGCCTCTGCAATCGAGTTTTGGGGAAAGGATTCCTGCCCCCCAAGTCTAAGGCGCGGCGGAAAACCAGAACTGGGAGTTGCTGAAACCTCTTGCCAAGGCGCGCAACACAAGTGCCCGGTCTTCGCAGTGCTGCTGGTAAAGGTCGGTATAATACACCGTCTCCTCGCAGATCCCAACTGCTGACTTGCGATTCTTTCAGGTACAGGCGTTGGGATGTTTTCGATCCCACGCCAAGGGCTTACAGCACCCCAAAATCCGAATCTTCAGCTTGGAGTCAAAGGTGTCGTGGTGGTAGTCCAAGCGCACACCGTAGAAGCTCTCTGCTTCGTCCAACTCCTCGAAACAGGATCGCGGGCTTTGGGCCGGGTCTTGGCCAAGTATTTGCCATCCACAAACTTTGAGAAAAAACTGACAAACTGCTCCCCGCCACAAAGCAACAATCTGAAAAGCAAGAAAGAACCCCGGAAGCATCTGGAAGCCCTGAAGAGACCTTGAAAGAAATCCTTGAAAAGAATGCTTTGAAAGTTGCTTTGGGTTTCTGGGAAAAAACATGTGGCTGAGCAAACTCCCCCAAAAATTAGGCAAACTCTCGTAAATCTCCACCAAGACAGAGCCTTACCCTAAAGACGAAACAACCCCAAAAGACCCTTGTAGCACAGATTAAACTGGACGAGCATCTGAAGTGCAGCCCTGAAATGCTGCGCACGACCAACTTGATGCAGCCACGTAGGGAAGGATCGGGTCACCTCCATGGTCGTACATTGGCAGATTGCTTCGCCTTTCTTCTCTACGGCGCTTTGCATTTGTTGGGCTTTAGGTCTTACAATGAATCATGATTCATGATGGATGTTACGGTGACACGGCTCCTGAAGTTCTTGCAACCGTTTCTTGCCGCTGTTGCCATTGCCAGTTCTGTTGCTAACACGAGCAGCAATTGGATACAGAAATTTAACCCCATGCTTGAGGCACATCCGCACCACCGACTCGCCTTGGGCGTTGACGAGAATGTCAGTAGGGCTGGTGATGCGACTGTGAGTGTCGGACAGCGCCAAGTACCTCACATGGCGGAGCTTGCGAACGAGCGGAACGGAGCCTGATTGCTCCGGCGCGAGAGCATGACAGGAAGGAGGGCTGCCAGCTGATATTGGCTCAACAACACCTATATCCGCAGACATCTATGCAAGCTGTACCGGAATCGCATAGAAGGATGGGTGCTTTAAGAGCCCCACCTCGTGGTGACGTGCGCTGCAAGCCTCGTGGGCAGGTCGGCTGCAACTAATTGCCTTCATCGCGCTAGCATGTCCCGATTAGCACCTCGTGAGCCATGCCAGATCCACCCCCAAGAACAAGCAGAAGACAGAACTGAGCTCGGTCGAGTTCTCAAAAAAGGCACATGGAAGAAGACGCTTTGCCCAGAGCCCCCTGAAGCAAGTCCGGCGAACCGGCTGCCGCAGATTGCCACCTTCAACCCCACAGCCTGAATCAGAGCCGGAAAAGCCAAGCCACTTGCACAGAATGCTGGCGGCCGTTCCAGTGTACTTCCGGGTTTCGATCTCCGTCTCGCCTGCGAGGCAAGGCCCTCCAAACTATGGCCCTAAGCTTTTTCGGGGGACACAGGGTTGCTGGCGTCCGGGAGCGTTTCTGGACGTTTCTGGGGTCTTCAGACTTCCTCACTCCGTCAACTCTCAGTTCACATGTGGCAGCTGCTTTCGACTCCCTGAAGCATGCACAACATGCACAAGCAAAAAAACACCTGGAAAGCAGACAACGACAACAACAACAACAACAACAACAACAACAACAACAACAACAACAACAACAACAACAACAACAACAACAACAACAACAACAACAACAACAACAACAACAACAACAACAACAACAACAACAACAACAACAACAACAACAACACAACAACAACAACAACAACAACAACAACAACAACAACAACAACAACAACAACAACAACAACAACAACAACAACAACAACAACAACAACAACAACAACAACAACAACAACAACAACAACCAACAACAACAACCAACAACAACAACCAACAACAACAACCAACAACAACAACCAACAACAACAACCAACAACAACAACCAACAACAACAACCAACAACAACAACCAACAACAACAACCAACAACAACAACCAACAACAACAACAACAACAACAACAACAACAACAACAACAACAACAACAACAACAACAACAACAACAACAACAACAACAACAACAACAACAACAACAACAACAACAACAACAACAACAACAACAACAACAACAACAACAACAACACTACTCAACCAAATCGATTCCCACCTTTGGCGCCCAACTCCCTCGGCAGGTGCCTCTTTGCGTCTGGATGGTGTAGTTTGTCTCGTTGCTGATGTACTTGCCCATGATGATCACTTTGCGGAAGGGATGCGAGTACCTGCGAGCACCGGCTTCTGGGCACTTTAGGGCACTGGTCCGAGGCTTTGTGGCAGTTTGGTCTGTGGCCCTTCCCTTCCAGCTCGCAACAATTTTTACTGGCACGCTTCCATATCTTTTCTTTCCACGGCTGCGAGGCAGCACAGAGGTGACCGGAGGTGCTTGAACATGGCTGAAACAGGTTCTGCTTCGAATCATTACGAGCAGAAGGCATCAGTTCATGGCTGTTACATCCGAAACCTTGACACCCGAAAACCAGAAAGAACTGTAGTGAAAACACCAGCTCTGCAACCACGAATCCTGCGACCAGAATCCAGTTAGGGCCAGTAGAGCCTTCTGGGAAGGCTCTCTGAACCCCAAACCACACACACACACACACACACGCGGGCTCACTGCAGCGTCGCGAGGAAGGGGTTTAAGTCTGCATGTTGAGCCACAACCTTGATGCATCCATGGGTGGACACCGGAGAAAGCAAAGAAAGGCTTCAGAGCACCTTCAGAACAAGCCCAGCAACTCCAAGCGTCACCTCCGTGTCATTGATGTTCTGGAAAACATTCCTTTGCTCTGCGAAACCGGCGGCAGGGCTTCGGGTCTAGAATGCCCTTGGCGCCCTGGTGCACGACAGGTAGTTGCGGGCAAAAACAAAAAAAGAACTCCCTTGCACCCTCAGGCTGTGCACAGTCCTTTGCAGACACATCAGGGTGTAGGGTTTAGGGTTTAGGGTTTTGGGTTTAGGGTTTAGGGTTAAGGGTTCAGCATCTCAAGTTCGAGCATTTGCTAGGCCAGCAGTGTGCGTATAGGCAACGGAAAAGAACCCACCCGGCCAAAGAATGCCATAACATTACGACAATAGAAAGTGCATTTTTTGTTCGTGTTGAACAAGTGGGGTTAAAGGCGTCAGAGGGGCCAAAATGGATCAAATTCCCAAATTCGTGCTGAACAATGGGGGGTCAGAGGGGTCAGAAGGGCCAAAATGGATCAAATTCCCCTATTCGTGCTGGTCTATGGGGGGGGCCAAGGGGTCAGAAGGGCCATTGCTGAACAATGGGGGGTCAGAGGGGTCAGAAGGGCCAAAATGGATCAAATTCCCAAATTCGTGCTGAACAATGGGGGGGGGGCCAAGGGGTCAGAAGGGCCGAAATGGATCAAATTCCCAAATTCGTGCTGAACAATGGGGGGGGTCAGAGGGGTCAGAGGATCAAAACAAGTGCTGGGGGGGTCAGAGGGGTCAGAGGGGCCAAAATGGATCAAATTCCCCTATTCGTGCTGGTCTATGGGGGGGGCCAAGGGGTCAGAAGGGCCATTGCTGAACAATGGGGGGTCCGAGGGTCAGAAGGGCCAAAATGAATCAAATTCCCAAATTCGTGCTCAACAATGGGCTGCCAAGGGGTCAGAAGGGCGGAAATGGATCAAATTCGTGCTGAACAATGGGGGGGTCAGAGGGGTCAGAGGATCAAATTCCCTAATTCGTGCTGAACAATGGGGGGGTCAGAGGGGTCAGAGGGGCCAAAATGGATCAAATTCCCCTATTCGTGCTGGTCTATGGGGGGGGCCAAGGGGTCAGAAGGGCCATTGCTGAACAAATGGGGGGTCCGAGGGTCAGAAGGGCCAAAATGGGTGGAGTTTTTTTTTGGGTCTTTTTTTTTGGGGGGGGCCTTTTTTTTTTGGTCGATTTCCTTGGTTTTCTCTAGGAAAAACCCTACTTTCCTTACATTTTGGACGGATTTTCTGTCATTTCCCTGAGGTTTTCGTTGGTTTTTCATAGGGGAAAACCTATTTTTTTACATTTTGGACGGATTTCCTGTAATTTCCCTTAGGTTGAAGCACGCTCTGCACGGCTTAAAAAAAGCGGGGGGGTTGGGGGGGGCGCAGCCCCCCCCATTTGCAAACACAATGCACACACGATGTTTTTCAACTAGTTTCTTGGGCTTTGAAGCACGCTTGGTACAGCTTAAAAGAAGCGGGGGGGTTGGGGGGGGCGCAGCCCCCCCCATTTGCAATGCTCACACGATGTTTTTCAACTAGTTTCTTGGGTTGGGAAGCACGCTTGGTACGGCTTAAAAGAAGCAGGGGGGGTTGGGGGGGGGCGCAGCCACCCCCCATTTGCAAACACCCTGCTCACATGATGGGTGTCAACAAGTTTCTTGGGCTTTGAAGCGCGCTCTGCACGGCTTAAAAAACAAAAAAAAGCGGGGGGGTTGGGGGGGGCGCAGCCCCCCCCATTTGCAAACACAATGCTCACACGATGCTTTTCAACTAGTTTCTTGGGCTTTGAAGCAAGCTTGGTACGACTTAAATGAAGCGGGGGGGGGGTTGGGGGAAAACACAGCCCCCCCTCATTGGCAAACACCCTGCTCACATGACGGGTGTCAACAAGTTTCTTGGGCTTTGAAGCACGCTCTGCACGGCTTGAAAAAAAACGAGGTTTTCGTTGGTTTTTCCTAAGGAAACCCTCTTCTGATTACATTTTGGACGGATTTCGTCAAACGTCAAAGCGTACGTTGCTTTTCCTTAGTTTGTCCTAGGGAAAACCCTATTTGGTTCGTTTTCTTGGTTTCTATCATTCCCTCTATATTTTCATCGGATTCATACTTTTTTTTTCAACTAGTTTCTCGGGCTTTGAAGCACGCTTGGTACGGCTTAACAGAAGCGGGGGGGGGGTTGGGGGGGCGCAGCCCCCCCCCCCCATTTGCAAACACCCTGCTCACATGATGGGTGTCAACAAATTTCTTGGGCTTTGAAGCACGCTCTGCACGGCTTAAAAAAAGCGGGGGGGTTGGGGGGGGCGCAGCCCCCCCCCATTTGCAAACACAATGCACACACGATGTTTTTCAACTAGTTTCTTGGGCTTTGAAGCACGCTTGGTACAGCTTAAAAGAAGCGGGGGGGTTGGGGGGGGCGCAGCCCCCCCCATTTGCAATGCTCACACGATGTTTTTCAACTAGTTTCTTGGGTTGGGAAGCACGCTTGGTACGGCTTAAAAGAAGCGGGGGGGGTTGGGGGGGGCGCAGCCTCCCCCCATTTGCAAACACCCTGCTCACATGATGGGTGTCAACAAGTTTCTTGGGCTTTGAAGCACGCTCTGCACGGCTTAAAAAAAGCGGGGGGGTTGGGGGGGGCGCAGCCCCCCCCATTTGCAAACACAATGCTCACACGATGTTTTTCAACTAGTTTCTTGGGCTTTGAAGCACGCTTGGTACGGCTTAAAAGAAGCGGTGGGGGGTTGGGGGGGGGCGCAGCCCCCCCCCATTTGCAAACACCATGCTCACATGATGGGTGTCAACAAGTTTCTTGGGCTTTGAAGCACGCTCTGCACAGCTTAAAAAAAGCGGGGGGCGCCAGCCCCCCCCCCAATTTGCAAACACAATGCTCACACGATGTTTTTCCACTAGTTTCTTGGGCTTTGAAGCACGCTTGGTACGGCTTAAAAGAAGCGGGGGGTTGGGGGGGGTGCAGCCCCCCCCACCATTTGCAAACACCCTGCTCACATGATGGGTGTCAACAAGTTTCTTGGGCTTTGAAGCACGCACGCTCTGCACGGCTTAAAAAAAAAACAAAAAAAGCGGGGGGGTTGGGGGGGGCGCAGCCCCCCCCATTTGCAAACACAATGCTCACACGATGTTTTTCAACTAGTTTCTTGGGATTCGAAGCACGCTTCCTTTCTTCCTTCCTTGCTTCCTTCCTTTCTTCCTTCCTTTCTTCCTTCCTTGTTTCCTTCCTTTCTTCCTTCCCTCCTTTCTTCCTTCCTTCCTTCCTTCCTTCCTTGTTTTCTTCCTTTCTTTCATCCTTCCTTCCTTCCTTTCTTTCCTTCTTTCCTTCTAAAACGTACCAGAAATAACGCTTTCCTATGAAACCACAGAGAAATTACTGTTTTTCGTACCAAAAACCACGAAAATGCATCAAATCCTTTAAAAATATGGAGGGAATGGTGGTTTTCTTAGGAAAAACCAAGAAAATCGACCAACAAAAAAAAAAAAGGCCCAAAAAAAAAAAAAAAACCCAAAAAAATAGGCCCTCCTTAAAAAAAGGGGTGTATGGGGCTCAGGAAGAGCTTGCCAAGGACAGACAAAGGTCAAACAGTAGGGAGTCTAGGGCCCAGTTCGGGGGGAGAAGACTTTGAAAGAGGAAAAAAGGCTAGCTTCAGCTCTCCTTCGAAGAGAACGCATCCCCCGTCCTTCACGAAGGACGGCCTCGGTGTCTTGCGGGGGCCTCGACTCGTGAGGCGCTCTCAAGAACTTGGTTTTGGATCCGAGGGCCTCCTCGGGACTCTTAGGGCACTGGAGGGATTTCAGGATTTCAGGGCTTTAGGGTGTTAGGGTTGGTACTGGCACAGGGGCCTAGAATAAGTGGAATCTAAATTTTGGGGGGCTTCCAGGGGCTTCTGGCGCAGTTCATGGCGATGCCCTGCGCGCCTGATGGCAAGGGCCACGCAGGACCAGCATCGGAGAGAGCGGAGCTCCTGGCCGATTCGCAAAATCCGCAGAATAAGCTAGCCCTCACTTTTTTAACATGTGCAGAACAAAGCCATGGTCCCTCTGGGCCTCGGCCCCCCTTCGGGGAAGACGATCCAGGTCAACACTGTCAGGCCTGGAGGGCTCAAAGAGAAGGAATAAGACTTTGCGCCACGAGGGGGGCGTTGTTTTTTTGGAAGCACAAGGGAATCGGCAGTAGGCGCAACACATGCTTGGGCCCACTCACAGGAAGGCCAGGGCACGAAAGGCTGAAACGCTGGCGTGTCCCGGGGGCACGGCCAATTGCCGGGCCTGTCGACCAGCGCTGGGGCCTTTCTCAAGGTAACACTTCAACGAAGGACGGCAGCATGTCGGCCAACCCACCGGAAGCAACACCGACCTCGCTTACTAATAGTATTCACATGTTGGTCCCTTTAGAATTACAGCAAAAACAAACCCCGAAAAAACCCATCCGATCTTTCTCATGTGCCGAGCTGCTGGACTCCCAGAGGACATGGGGGGGTTTCCTGCATTTCACAAATGTCAGAAAAAAGTGTGCAGTTACCTCTACCTGCAGCTCTGAGGCACTACCCTAATTCTGCAACTGTGGAAGCGATCCTGATGTGTCACTCTTGGCTGCGAGGCTGGACTCGCTTGTGGGTCGCGTGCCTGGTCACTAGGCTCATGGTATACGACGACGCTAAAACACCATTCAACC